GGTTGTTAATGAAAATTATCTGTTATATAATATTTGCATTAATTAATAGGAGAGCACATAGCAATAGTTAGTGATGTCAAAAAAATTTTACTATTTTGTGTAATCTGAGCTTCTGGATTTAATAAATTATGTCTGAAAATCATATAAATTTTCTAATAACTTCTAACCAATGTACTAAGTTGCTCAGATCATAATTTGCTATAATATTGATATGAGATCTTTGCTTTCAGGTAAGACTGTCCCAAATTAGAAAATAATTATCTAAGTCACCCGATCATCACACAATTGATAACCAAAATTTTTTTATATGTTTTACAATAAAATTTGTCATGTAAAAAATATCACATGTTGATTAGTCAATAAAAATCGTAAATTTTTATAAATAAAAAGATCGAGATTAAGAGAAAGTAAGAGAAATTTAATCAAAATTTATAGTTAAAGTTCAAGATAAGTGCCACCAAATGTTATTGTTAGTTAAGTAAATATATATGTATTAATTTAACTAGAGTATGCAAATGCAGGCAGCTTCATCACTGTAAAAACATGGCTAAAGAGAAATTAAAATTATAAAAATTCATCCTAAGAAAATGTCTACACTATATTTTACTTACTATGTTAAGAGCGCTCGTTTTACTTCAATCATGTTGGCCTTGTTTTGTTTATTAAGAATGATCTTGTGTTTTGATTCTATTTCTTGCAACGAAATGTTGTCAATTGCCAATACAATAGTCTCATTCTTCTCATTATCTTTTATTATCTAAATGAAAATAACATTATAAAATGTGACAAATATGAATGTAATATACATCATTTATTATTAATTACCTGTTCAACTTCATCAAAAAGCAGATATATAACATTAGGTATATTATATTCAATAATTTTTACTTCATCCTCAAACTTTTTAATATCTCATTCCAATCTTTTGTAGTGAAGAGTTGCCTAGTTTTTACATAAGATCTAGTAAGATCAAGAATTCCCCAATAAATAGGACTTTGAATAGAACAAAAGATAAACATTATTAAAAAATGCAATTAGTGTTTAAAATTCAAACTTGGTTTTATGTTTTCAAAAAAACTTAATGCATTTTTGTGATTCAGAAATTATCTCTATAAGTGGTTAAAACTTGGCCTACATCAGTTCCTGTTAATAAAATTCAGTGCTTGGTCTGACCTATAGTGTCTGGTTCATATCGTTCTACAATTTTTACATCTTTATCTGAAATGAGGTTATTAACCAATGCTTTATTATCCATTACAATAGAGGAGAAAACATCTTTATCTTTATCAGCTTCATCTCTATTGGCTTTAACTTTATTATATTCATCTTTATTATCTTTATTATATTCATCTTTATCATCTTTATTATATTTGTCTTTATCATCTTTATTGTTATTACATTCGTCTTTATTATCTTCCTCTTGATTACATTCATCTTT